TACTGGGCTATAACAATCCAAGAGAACATCCACACATTACGGATTACGAAAAGGACTATTTGGAAGAGCAGCTGGGAAAATCTACTCACGCAAGCACACCGCCTTTCCCATGGAAATGCGCACTTACGTCCAAGCCTTTTTGGGCTTTAATTATTATGCAGTCCGGACAGGATTGGAGTAATTACACTATTATGTCGGATCTGCCGAAATACATGAATAATGTCTTAAAGCTCCCCGTACAATTGAACGGCTACGCTTCGTCAATGTACAATATGAGTTCGTGGCTCTTTTGTATGGTCATGTCATGGTTTTCCGATTGGCTGAGTGTCAAGGGATATTTGTCCACATCAAATATTCGCAAAATAAATACTGTAATCTCAACTATGGGGCCAGGAACTCTGTTGGTCGCAGCAATGTACGCTGGTTGCGACGTAATCGCAGCAATATCCTTAATTACAATAGGGTTAACATTATCCGGAAGTTCCATTCCGGGGATAAAAGTTAATGTTCTTGATCTTAGTCCTAATTATGCTGGAACATTGATGGGCATTTCAAATGGTATTGGGGCTTTTACTGGCATTCTTGCGCCTTATGTTGTTGGTGTATTGGCACCGAATCAAACTCTCAGTGAATGGCGGCAAATTTTTTGGATCGTGGCCGCTGTCTATGTTGTTACTACAATAATATTTGTGATATTTGCTAGTGGTGAGGTACAAAAATGGAACGATCCTGAATTTGTCATTAACAATCAAAATAAATGTGATTATACTGAGGAAAATATACATCTTTCATCAAAGAGTAAAATTAATTTATCAAATAAATACAATTTTTACAAATACATGGAGTTGAAATATTTTTTATTTATAGACAGAAAAAGCTTTTAATGATAATGATGTAATGAGTATGCTGAGCTTATTAAATTATTACATTTAATATTACTCACAGAGTTAGATTGACAATTGTTAATATTGTGTAAGGTAGTGTTTGAATTGGAAATTTGAATATAAACTGACAGTAGGTTACTATTATTACAAATGAGTTTACATTGTCATTAACGCTATCGTATGTAATAGTGAAAAATAAAATTTAACAACTTTAGTACTCTATTTAAATTATATATAATAATCATATTATATATTTTTTTCAAAAATCAATGCACAGAAATATAAAGCAAATATGAAATTGAAATAATAATGACATTGTAATATTTCTAATGTTCATTCTAAGCGAACAACAAAGATAGATTTCATTAAAGAACAAAATTTTCATAATTTCATTTTATGTAATTAAATTTATTTAATTAATTAACTTCCAGTACATTATAAGCCTCGGAGCATTCTTTAATTTAAGAATGAATTTTTTATTTTTTTTTTTTTTTTTTTTTTTTTTTTTTTTTTTGCTAAGATATTCTACACTCTTTTTTACTACAAGAAAATTACATTTTTTTTAATTAGAGTTTAATATTATACGAAATGTGTAATTTCATTAAATATTATTATTTTAAAAGCGTAGGTTTAGTATTTTTATTACAACTATTTATAACATAAAACCAAACAATAAACAATATAAATTGTAATGTAGATATCATTAAAGATTAAGAATTAAAAATTTTATAATATTGAAACTTAACGACATAGACAAAAAATTAGAAATACTCAAACTAACATCAGAATTTTTTAATATTATTAGTGTTGTAGGAGAAAAAATTCTAAAATAGTATTATTATTCGAATGATAAATTATTTAATTAATAAAAGTCAATAATAATATTATGCCGTTAGAAAAAGTTTAAATAATCGAATAACATCTCTTTATTCTATGTTATTAGGTTACTATAATATTAACTGATTTTCAACTGTTGATAATTAATTTTATCAGGACAATTTATTAATAATTTCACATGAATCAGTGGTTAAGTTAACGATATATGCTAATTAACTCTTTAGAAGCTTTTCGACAACATTATGCAAATAAATGAATAAATCGCTAATTAAATATTCATAAATCAATTACCGTTTATACTCATTGAAAAGTTTAAGACTAATTGGATTGACTAATGAAATTGAAATATCCTTACTATAATATATCTTGGATAAACCTTTAACCGACCATTTATTTGATTTAACGTGATATAGTCGAAGTAATTGTTTATATGTAAAATAGAAGTCGTGAAATTAATGTTTACATTCAAAATATCCAGAAATCCTAAAGCAAAATAGTAATGTTTTTCGGTAAATTTAATTTTTATCATCATTCATAAGAAATAAGAAATAAATGTTGTATTAGAAGTAATTCCATTCGAAGAAAAAAATATTATATAAAAGGAAATGATACAAGGATAGCTATAAAAATTTTTTAGTTTTATGATAAAAAAGTTATTATCTTCTTGATATTTTATATGATTCTTGACAATTAATAAATTTTGATATGAGTTTTATGAATATTTAAATAAAAATTTATTATTCATATAATTAGTTTTTATATTGTCATTTAATATATTATTTGCGTTGTTAGAATACTACGACTACATGAAATGTTTCATAAATTATAAAAATTTAAATTAAATTTTACATAAGATTTTTATGAATAATCAGAAAAAATATTGCGTTCTTAATGGCATTTCACATAATGAATTTTCAATATATTGAAAAATATTAATATTTCTTGTATTTTATGTATAAACTTTACCCTTATTAATAGTGTAAAATGTAAAATGTTCGGTTCAATAATTATCAAAGGATTAAAAATAAAAAATAAAAATACCAATTATTAATACTTATTTCAATATGAAATTCATTCATTATATTATGTTTTGCATTTAATTTAAAGATTTGCTTATTTTGTAAGATATAAATGTTATATCCATATTAAAGTTAATCGGACTAATAATACTGAATAAATTAATGATGATTCTCCTTTTAATATAATTGTATTGGCCTAGTTTATAGGAACAATAGTTGCATTAACTATTAGTTTATTAGGTAACTAAGATTTCTTGTACTTATTATTAAGCATTTTGTGCTGTATTAAAAACAAAAACAAAAAAAAAAAAAAAAAAAAAAGAAAGAAAAGAAAAACGAAAAAGAAGTTGAGTAAATTTCTTTTTATATCCTTATTAACTAATAGACATACTTTTAATGTACATTTAAGATATTATTGTAACATTGAACTGCATTGAGATAGAAATTAATAACATATTAGTTATGATTTGTAAAGCTATTTAGGAAATAATTTAGTCTTCGTGTATATGTTCTAATAGACATACTTTTAATGTACATTTAAGATATTATTGTAACATTGAACTGCATTGAGATAGAAATTAATAACATATTAGTTATGATTTGTAAAGCTATTTAGGAAATAATTTAGTCTTTGTTTTTATTTTCCAAATTTTTTTTTTTTTTTTTTTTTTTTTTTTTATCGATGTATAATAAAATAGACATAAAATCAGGAAAGCTATTTCAATTTTTAATTTACTTTGTCAGAAAAATTTAATATTTCTATGAATAATGAGAAAATGAAGCTAATATTCTGGTAAATTCGGCTAGTAAAATTCAGTTGGCCAATTATGAAATAAAAAAATAATTTCGTAAAATTTTGTCTCCTATAAATGGTAGATAACTATATTTTTTTACTAAATAAATTGATCGATTGATTTATTCTCTAATTATATGCAAATCTTTTGGACAACATTTTTGTTACGTTGGGATTTTGAGGAGAGATAGCAAAAAGAGGACGGAAAGTAGAAAAAAAAATATTAACAAGTAATGTAAAATAAGCCATTGAATAGCTATTGGATTCGTATCGGAACAAGATATTCCAATAAAATTAATTTAAAAATGTTATTGTTAATTATTAGTCCATTACATTAATTATTGATCGCGGAGGCTTAACGATTGTTAATTTGAATTCTTCATAAATATTTGCTATTGGCCGTGTAGAAACATGCGTTTATTGCATATTTAAATCATGTTCTTATGCAAATATCATGGTATTCTATATGAATGCATTAAACATTTAACTTGATAATAGTGAAGAATTTGGTGAAATTGAAATTAAAGCCTTATCAATATTAAAAAATTGATTCATCATAGTTTTATTAGATGCCATCAAGATTGGCGACCAATGATCAATATACGTGAAATATTTTCATAATCTGTTATAACAATGATTACATGGCTTGCGATCATACTTTAACAGATACGTAGTTTTATTATCAGCAATTGAAACTGGCACATTTCATTGTTTATATTTAAATAAATGCTACAGAGACTACTTGATGTGACTACTTGTAAGTCTTGTACTTTTAATTGTATTTGGAAGCTCGTGCTATTCGGCACCTTCAATGACGCGTGCGCCAATCCTAGTCAAAATAATCATATTATCCATATAATTATATTGTCATATTGTCAATGTGATACATCGAGAGCGAATTCTCGCATCGACAAGTGTAATGGTGTGCGAGAAATATAAAGCACTGAGAAAGTCTCTGCTTGTGCCAAGGCCGTAGTGCCATGCATTCAGTATTGTTGGAGCATCGGTAAAGGCAGTATTATATCACAACTATGAATGCTTAAAAGCTGAATTGTAAATTCACTTGATATTGATGGCTTTTATAAATGTCGCAATATAACTTATCGTCCGTTTGCTTGTGAATTTCATTTTAATCAAAGGAAGAAGAAAGATGTTGCCCACCTGGACATGTAGTTGTAAGTAAACACGCACCTTTACTTTATATTAAGTGAAAATGATCTCTTAGTGATGTTAATCTTAATTTTTGTTTTGTTTTTTTTTTCTTTTTTTTTGTTTTTTTTTTCTTTTTCCTTTTTGTTGGTGAGAAAAAGAATCATACAATTTTTTTTTTTTTTTTGAAAATCCTTAGAAATTTTGATTTAGCCACCCACTGTTGGAAGTGAAGGAGCCCCGAAGTGTATGTCGTGCACTTATCGCTTTGTTCCTGAGTTCAATAAAAAGTGAAGGCAAAGAGTAAAGTTATTATGACTACCTCATTTATAGATATTCACATACAGCAACGATGGATTTTCGCTGTAATGGGATTTTTGGCATTGTTTAATGCGTACGCTATGCGTATTTGCCTATCAATTGCGATAACGGAGATGGTTGTACCTTTAAATATTACCGAAGAATTTATCGATGACACGTGCTCGGATCTTTCGATCAAACAATCCAACAACTTCACCGCGATTGTTAAAGACGGCACCTACGAATGGAGCGAATACACTCAGGTAAAAGAAAGAAAAAAAACTACCCATTATATAATATACATACATATATAGTAGTACATCAAATATGTATTATCAATTGGCGTATAATTAATTCGTCGTTTTACGAAAAATTGATGAAATATGTTGATTTTGTATAAATATAATTGCGAATTATGTATCTTTTAATGTCATAATTACAATTTGAATTTAGTAATAATTCTACACAAGTCTTATATAAATTCCATTGACAATTAAATTGATAAATGTATGCATTACGAGATGCAATTGCGTATCAATTGCTTTAAAATGACAAACGCACGAGTAGTTCACTAAAAGGTCTAATTGTCATATGGAAAATGTATATAAACAGAAAGCTCAACTTACTCGTATTACTTCAGTATGAAAGCATCAAGTCATCTCCACAGCAAACATAAAAATAATACCTATCAATATGTTATTTATCATGAATTGCTTAACATTAAGTATAAATGTTATGATCAGATGTAACTTAACACAATACGTTTATCGAATTGGATTAATTTAATTTTATCCATAAGCTATAGTTATTGTAAATGCATGGAAAATGCTCGGAGCATATGTATTGAGGGAGATTATGATGGTAAACATTGTCGTGCCTGAATCACTCGTTCAATTAAAATAATTCCCTTTGGCAAACCAAAATTCATACAATCAAAATCTGTAATCAACTAGCAAACTCGAGCAATCAAAATTCAATTACTATTTACAGCTCATTTTTTAACGAGACTTAATTTTATGCGTCGACTTGTTCTTCACTTATTGGCAAACAAATGTCAATTCAACAAACTACTTCACGAAGCAGTCACCGACCAAGCTTTCAATTAATTTAATAATCCATAATGTGTGTCATTTTAATAACTTAAACGAACGAATTTATTTCAGGGAATCATTCTCTCGTCGTTTTATTGGGGCTACGTAATAACTCATCTACCCGGCGCTTTATTGTCCGAGAAATTTGGCGGAAAATATACGCTTGGTATTGGAATATTTTTAAGCGCAATACTAACAGTTTTGGTGCCAATATCCGTGCAATGCGGAGGCTCGGCAGCGCTGATCGTCCTCCGAGTCCTCATGGGATTCAGCGGAGGTGTCATATTCCCGGCCCTCAATGTCATGACCGCCCACTGGGCACCGCCGCAAGAGTTGTCCTTAATCACGGCCGTAATCTTCATTGGAGTGGACATTGGCGTGATCGGCGCGACAACCATATCCGGATTGATCCTCCGCTACTCCGTCCTCGGCTGGTCGGGAGTATTTTACTTTTTCGGTGGCGCAGGTATACTATGGTTTATCCTGTGGATGCTCCTCTGCTTCAACAATCCCGACGAGCATCCCTTCATTTCTGACAGTGAGGCGAGTTATCTGCGCAAGTCCTTAAACGAGCACACCCACAAAAATACGCCCCCCGTACCATGGGCTCGGATATTCAAGTCCTCTCCATTTTGGGCCCTACTCGTCGTCCAAATCGGCCACGACTGGGGTCTCTATACACTGGTCACCGACCTGCCCAAGTACATGAGCAGCGTCCTCAGATTCTCCGTCGAATACAATGGCTACTTGTCGTCCCTGCCTAACGTCTGCGCGGTCCTCTACTGCCTCCTGATATCCTGGCTAACCGACAAAATGATAACGTCCAATCTGATATCGAAGACCAATGCCAGGAAAATAAACACGAGCATATCCACATTAGCCCCGGCGCTCTTCATCGTCGGCGCATCCTACGCCGGCTGCAATCGCGTCCTCGTTGTTGTCATGTTTACGTTGGCCGTGACGCTCATGGGCAGCAGCTTACCAGGCATCAAAGTTAACTCGCTCGACCTCAGTCCCAATTACGCGGGAACGATAATGGCCCTTACGAATGGCATCGCCAGCTTCACCGGCATCTTGACACCTTATCTCGTGGGTGTGCTGACGCCAAACCAGACCCTCGGCGAGTGGCGACTCGTATTTTGGTTGGTTTTTTGCGTATTCTTCGTCACGAATACGTTTTTCGTTTTTTTCGCCAGTGGCGACGTGCAGCTCTGGAACGATCCGAAATTTCCAAAGGCAAGAAGAGCGTTAAATTGAGCGAGAAAGCTTAAGGGCTCGTCTTCATCTATTTTTTCTTTTTCTTTTTTTCTTTTCTTTTCTTTTTTTTTTCTTTTTTCTTTTTTCTTTTCTTTTTATCCTTTTTACTACTTGTGGCGAAAGATAGTAGACATATCGGTATATGGTTACTCATACTGTTATTATATTTTTTAATTTTCTCAAGCTCTTTTATTCTATGTAATATCCTTCGTTGAATGTAATATGTTTTATATCGATATATCGCTACTAATAACGATAACATTGTGCCAAATACTAAATTAATGTTTAATATAAAGCGATACAAATGGAATGGAACAAAACAATAAAATATTAAATTGCAAACAATATTGTGTTTAATAAATTATCTTTGTGAAAATTTTACTCATGCACAGATGTTTCTCTTAATATTTCCATTTGTCTTATTAAATTAATAAGCTTTTATTATTTATATATGCAAAGAAACAAATGATTTTTCAAAAAACTACAAAGTAAAGTACTTTAGAAAACTAGGAAACAATTTTAAGAATGATTAATTTCATATCCTGAAGTTGAAAAATAATTATTATAAATTATCGGATTTGTGAAATATGTTCTAATGTCATAAATGTTCGCCAAAGATAACCCTTTACAGATAATATATAAGACATTAACAATTTATAATATTTCTAACACTTATAATTTCGCTATAACACTGCAAATATATACAATAAATTTATAAAAATTATGTATTTAAATATCTTGAAGGCAATGTGTCAATTGCCATATTAGTCGTCACAAGAAACTACGTTTTAAAATTTCTTTTTAATCTACATTACAATTTTTCGTTCTGCTTGTACAAGATAGAGAGGTATAAAATAAAAATTTTGTAGTTTTATCTTTGGAGATTCGAATTAAAAAGCATGTACAAAAAAAAATGTTTTAGAACAATTGCGTATTTGACTTTGAAATATTGTTGATATAAGATTAAAAGATTGAAGAAAAAGTGGCATGCAAACATATATAAAAATTCAAGGATAATTAGTATTTTATGAAGTATTATTAAAAGAATAATAAATATAATGAAGCGTAATTTATTTAAAAACTTATGTTCTTGAAGAATCCATAAATTATGAAGATATTTAATATGTCCATCTACCTTTAGTTTTACGTAATAAAAAAAAAAAAAAGAAAAAGATCAAATAAGATAAATTATTTAAACAATTATTATTTCTAAATAAATTATTATAATTATATTCTAGATAAATTATTTCTACAATTTGAATATTACAATTATATTAAAATAAATTGCATAAAATACGTGGCATAATTTGTTAAGATTAAATGTTTAATTCACTTTTATTCAAAGTACTAGTTACATTAAACGCAATACTAGACATAATGAAAACGTGGCAAAATTAAACAACAAAAGAGAATCATAAAATATTGTTTAATAATAGTAGTATCGAATCTATTCAATATAAATTGTTTGGTTTATTACATTAAATGAAATACTATAAAAAATTGTTGTGAAAGAGTATATACTTAAAATATTGTCAACAATATTCTTGATTAAATAAAAATGTAATTTGAACATTAAAATGAAGATCTTTTCTTATTTTGTCCTCTTGTAAATATTAGTCGAGATTCTGCTGCTTATATATAATAAAAAAAAAAAAATTTTAAGTTAATTGAATAGATCTTTGAATAAAAAAAAAAAAACAATTTCTCATAATAAACTATTTTTAAAATTAGATAAAATTGAGATTTATCATAAATAATATAATGGTAAGTCTGTATTTATAATTATTAGTGTTTTTTTTTTATTTGTCTTAAGAAATAATATAAAGATATAATATAGAGAAGAAAAGAATGACAAAGAAATTCTATTTAATAAGTATATGATAATGATAATACCATTTTTTTTTTTTAATGAAGAAAGCTTAAACAAAATGTTACATGATTTCTACTTGTCAAAAAATCAAATCTCGAACCTTCAATTTTAATACTGGATTATCTCCTATTTGATTAGTCGATTTTTTTTTTTTTTCGGTTTTTTTTTTTTTTTTTTTTTTTTTTTTTTTTTATATGACGTCTTAATGTTATAACAGAGGTGAGAAATTAAATACATCAGACACTTGTCACTGGCAAACACTATCCGTGCAAAATCGAACGAAGTTTTAATTGAAATTTATACGCATGTCTAATAATCAAAAGCAATATCTTTGTTAATATATAAAAAGATTATAATTTTCTGCTTGAATATTGTTTTATAACGTTTATTTTTTTAAGTATGCAAAGTTATTCACTTTTTTTTTTGGCGAAGGTGGATTTAGATTGGTTAGAAGTATGAATCTAACGTATAAAATATGCTAACAGACTTTTGACAAACTGAATAGAAAAATTTAATTTATGTAATCAACCAAGTATTTATAAGTGTACAAAATAAACGAATATTAATAATATAATAATATCCACATTTTCACACTATAGATTATCAGCAAGAATATTTGACTAACTTACGCTGTTGTGTCATCATTACATTGATAAATTTTATTAAATAAATCACACGAAGTATTTAATAATCAAATTAATACAAAGTAAAAATTATCAAGGCAATAATATATATATATATATATATATATATATATATATATATAATTATAATCAAATTAATACAAAGAAAAAATTATCAAGGCAAAAATATATATATATATATATATATATATATATATATATAATTAAATTACGAATTAAATTTTTTTTTATTACTACTACAACTTTTTCAAAATACCAGATATTTTTATGAAATTCGTGTATTATATGTAAACTATGATTGGGGAGGCATTCAATTATCATACTAAATAAGCTATAAACAATAGATATAACATCATAAGATGCAAAAGATAGATAAAGTCAATAAGACTTCAAAAAAAGGATAGTCAACAATAAAATCCTTATTAAATGATGAGTTATTAAATTGAAGGACATTTGTATTTATTTCAATAGTAGAGTAGCCATTAATAACTTATCAGTTTCCGCTCTTAAATGCTTAGTAATACAAAATATCTTTATATAAGTGTGCATATAATATGTTATCTTATTGCTACAAATTGTACAATTGTATAACATATATAAAATACTGTATATTATTATTATTATTATTATTATTATTATTATTATTATTATTATTATTATTACTGATATATATTTCTAATATATAACATAATTTTTAACAGTTGTTAAAACAGTGACTACTTTATTAAACATTCCAAGTCAAATGATCTGGGATTTTGTGGATCTTATTCTTGATTATTTCTCTTAATAGTATTACTTATTTATATAATATATTTTATAAATAAATGATAACTTTTTATGAATTACAAAATAATTTAATGTTCTGAAAGGGGGATAAGGGTGATGATTAATTGCATACTACGGTATAAGTGAAGAGAAAGTGACGTCGATTTCAGACAAAATTAATAGCATTATTAAGCAAATTAATTGCAAAATAAACAATCGCTTTCAAACATTTCGACAAGTATATTTTAACAATAAGTATCACATTAGTTCGATTACTGTTTAAATAATTTATAATTTATTTTTTCTATATAATTTTAAGTTTTATATATTCATGTTGATATATATATATATATATATATATATGAATATGTATGTTTCGGTAACCAAAATGAAGAAAGCTATTAGTCCTTTTTTTTTCTTTCTTTTTTTTTTTTTAATATAATCCATTCTATTTAAAAAATATCGTCCTAATTAAACTCAAATAGAAGCTTTTTTATATAAACAAAATATAATATTTAAAATACGTAAAATATTTAAAATATAATATTAAAACATTTATAATTTTTCCGAATTACGGAAACAATTTATAATTATTGAAATATTTCATAAAATAATTTATTGTATATGAATTATATTTATCCTTTAACATATGCTTGAAAAGAAAGATAAAATGCATCTTTTACGACGTAAAATACACTACGAGTTGAAATCTATAAATATAATATTGTAATACAAGTGTGATCTATATTTTTTCAGCAAAAGCTAAATTTATTATAAATATGCTGTTCAACGACATTTCGTTAATGTTATTATAAAAGTTGACGAATCTGAAGTGTGAGTGCTTAAAGTAGAAATTAAAAAAAAAAAAAAATAAGAAAAGAATAAGAAACATGTTTGCTCTATAGTTAAATAGTGTCGTCGATGATAAATATTGGAAACTAATGAAACAAAATAATGAAAAATCTTCCATTTGACTTAACTCACACAGCGTGAAAACCGTCTTTGTCGTTTCCCCCTCCTCTTTATATGCTATTTCACTCGCTTGAATTTCAAGGAATCTTTGTAGTTCATTGGTACAATAGGCGCGAACTCGTTACGCTTGAACATTTGTACAAGATTACAAAGCGTTTACATTTTTCTGTATTAATCTTGTTTTTTCTCTCAGTTTTCATAATATTTTCGAAAATGCTTGGCGATCTAAAAAAGTGCTGTAAGAATACAATAAAATCTTATTTAAATATTCAAATTATATAATGTTTATTTTTCGCATTATATTTTTGTGTTTTATTAATAAGGTGTAATTATTCCGCAACGATGGATTTTTGCATTAATGTGCTTTTTAGCGCTATTCAATGCGTATGCTATGCGCGCATGCTTATCAATTGCGATAACGGAGATGGTTGTACCAATAACAGTTCCAGAAGCTGTTCAAGATGAAACTTGTCCGTCGATGGATGTTAAATTACCAATTAATCAAACAAAACATTTTGAAGGAACCTATGAATGGGATGAATATACTCAGGTACAATTATCTATATCATTATTATTATACGAACTATGGAAATGTAATGGAGTAGAATGAATATGGGCGTGAAAGAATCGTGATGAGCATAATTTTATAAACATATATTTTCTTCTTTTTCATGTCGTATTAAATAAAACAAAAAATATAAAAAAAAAAAAAAAAATTTGCGAAAATTTCTCAAAAAAGATTTCTTTTTTTTTTTTATCGTTGTCAAACGATAAATAATATTTTATTCTAAAATATATATATATATATATATATATATATATATTCTTTACTACTACTACTACTATATGATTTCGGTACAAATCGTATAAAACATGTCAAAATCATAAAATTCATAAATACACTAGAATTATACGAATTTTTACATTAATATAATTCTTTCTCCTTTAATGACTCATTACTAATGCAGCACGATTATTAAATCAAAAAAAAAAAAAAAAAAAAAAAATTAACAACAGCCATGGCGACATCCCCGAGACGAGCTTCAATAAATGTGACATAAAATCTTGTCGCACACATTGATATGTTGTTTGGTAAGGGTAGAGTGTAGCATAAAGTGTAGCATAGAGGAGGGCATTGCAGTGCCAATAAAACGTCACATTCTCTTCGCATTTTTTACGCATTCAATTACGCAATTGATAATTATGTTTTACCACAGGGTCTGATACTTTCGTCCTTCTATTGGGGATACATTATCACTCACTTACCTGGTGGCATGATTGCTGATAAATATGGCGGCAAATATACTCTAGGAATTGGGATCTTGCTGACCGCTATATTCACCCTCCTCACTCCACTGGCTGTTTATTGGGGCGAATCCAATGCCCTTATAGCTCTACGAATATTAATGGGTCTCGGCGAAGGTACTACCTATCCGGCTATAAACGTCCTACTGGCCCAATGGACACCACCCGAAGAAAGATCCAGAACGGGCTCGTTCGTATATGCCGGAGCTTTGATTGGCACAATCTATGCGACGATGGTATCTGGATTAATTCTTTATTATTCTAACACGGGTTGGCCAACTGTTTTTTACGTTATTGGCACCACCAGTATAATATGGTTCGTAATTTGGCTTTTGGCTTGCTACAATAATCCACGAGATCATCCCTTCATCTCGATAGACGAGGTTAACTATCTAAAGGAGCGTATGAGCAAGCACACACACGACGAGCCATCGTCAGTCCCTTGGAAACTAATATTAATGTCGAAGCCATTGTGGGCTGTAATAATTGCGCTAATTGGATTCAACTGGTCGATTCTTACGATAGTCACGGACTTACCAAAGTACATGAGTGGCGTATTAAAGTTTTCCGTGCAAAATAATGGATATCTTACGTCGTTTGTGTATCTGTGCATGTGGATTGGTGGCACGGCAAGCTCTTGCCTCGCTGATTATTTAATAACTAAAGATTACGCTTCCATAACGCAAGTTCGAAAGCTCGGCTCGATCTTGGCTTTACCTGCTTCCGCATCCTTCATCGTAGCCGCCTCGTATGCCGGATGTGACCGGGTACTCGTTATTGGAATGTTTACCATAGCGATGTTATTAATGGGAACGGCCTTTCCCAGTGTAATGGTCAATGCTCTCGACCTCAGTCCCAATTATGCTGGTACACTAATGGCTCTGACCAATGGCTTATCAGCGCTCACGGGGATCGCCTCCCCCTATATCATTGGTATTATAACGCCTAATCAGACACTCAGCGAATGGCGATTAGTTTTTTGGATTTTATTTGGAATGTCAGTGATCAGTAATTTGATTTTTTTGAAATATGGTAGTGGTAAGGTCGAAGACTGGAATGATCCTAAATTTATTCGCGTAAGAAGTAGAAAGAGAGAGTCATTTGAAGAAATTAATATGTAAATAATCACTGACTATGATGAGCATTTATTTCGACAATCTAAATATACATTTATGTGTAAATCGGTACAAATTATGTAATTTTTTTCTTTTACTCTTTAAGTAATTATTAATAAGATTCGAGCGATAGTGACGTAGATATATTAATTTTTTTTGTTTCTTTTTCTGGTTTTTTTTTTCGCTTTTTTTTTTTTTTTTTTGTCTTTTTATTCTGCAATCACTTTAATCTGGATTATAAAAATAGGCACGAGTATTGAATTGAAAACATTAATTACACTTGTCACATGCACTGTTATATAAATATAAGATGTTTAAAGGCTAATTCATTTGTAAAATCATCTCTAAAAATCTTTTTATACATATAATTTTAAAACGTGTAAATACATTAAACCATAGATATAAACGAACAGTAAATTAATATAAAATATCTATGCCCATAAGTAAATATTGTCGCATCTTTAATTTGAAAGGCACGTTTTAGATAGAATTTTTGTTTGGATTAGTTTATTTTAATGCTTACGAGTATTGTTCGTATTGATGTTAAATTCGACAATTTATAAGAAAATGTAAAATAAAGTCGTATTACAGAATTTAATTAAAGTATTCTCCATTATACTAACTATCTACGGGCGAATAATTTAAAGCAAACAAATATTTATTATAATTGAATTGTAAACAATATGATAAGTAAATAAATAATAAATATGACATTTATATCGCATAATTTTTAACGAAGAGTCTTAATTGTAGAGAAGGTTTTTATTAATCAATATTAATTTTAAAGAAATGTGTACCAATTTCTTCGCAATTTCACTGATTGATATTCTTTTAACTATCGCAATACTAATATTTCTAATTAATTATTATTTTCAGAATAAAATTCTGAATATGAATTATGAAATTTTTAAAATACTTCATATGGATTTTGGAAAATTTATCAATTTCATTTATCAATAAGTCTTCGTATCTTATACTTCAAGCTATGCAATATTGGCAATGTACTATTAATATCGATTAATACATTAATTAGTTGCATAGAGAATTTTTAAATATATTAAACTAACAATTGAACGGAGCACTTAGACATTTTTGTTCGCGTTCTTTACATTTCCTCAAAATGAATTAAGTTTTTAAAAATATTATTCTCAAACGTATGAGTAAGACATTCATTAAAAAATATTTATGATTCGTCTATAAATGTTGTGAGATAATTTATAGAAGCACGATATAAATCCTGAGACTCGTTTGTTCAAAATTTTCGTTCTTATAACCAATTTATATGCTGCTTATTTATAATAATTAAAGATAATTAAAATTAATAAAATTCAATAATCGTCCATTTAAATATTTTAACTAATCGAAATAATGCAAAGAATCTAGAATATAAAATAGTAATAAAAAAAAAATCAATTGATTCTTATCTTAACTTTTAAATAAATCATATATTTTTTATCGAGGACTTAGATATAAATAAAAATTTGAAAATTCTTCACTAATGTAATTTTATATACGAATCATAGAATTTTTAGAGATTGTACGTTAAACTTTTAATTAAAAAGTTTCAATTATTTGAAATGATAACTGTGATGAACATTTACTTTTAAAGACTTCTAATTGTAAACAATCTGGACTATTATTGTAGTTGTGGTATAATAGTATAATATATATTATAAAAACATTGTACATATAATATATATATATATATATATATATATATAGAGAGAGAGAGAGAGAGAGAGAGTATAGTACAGTATGTATATAATATTATATAATAGTTGAGAAAAAATACTTTTAAATAGACTTCGATGAAATTATAACAACATTGAATAGAAGGTTTTTTTCATGTATCAGCAAAAAAAAATGTATTAATTTAAAATTTTAAATATAACAGAATGTATACATTATTTTTAAATACAAACCTTTTTTAGAAGATTTGTACATTTTTTTAAATTAAATTATCTTTTAAATTATAAACTATTTTTACAAATGTGAAATTCCAACAAATTTGTATTTTTAAAAAATTAAACAAATTTTTTTGTAAATAATTTTTAAAATTGACTCGATTGCATACTTAATTGTGCATTGATTAATTTTCAACTAATATAAAGTACGTAATACTTGTATTTACTATTTTTATTTACCACTAATATAATTAAGCAAAATTTATCTATATTTAACATTAAAGATATTTTATATAATTATTAAACTCAATGTATTCATCATTATATGCATTTGTATAATAATATAAATAAAAATTCTAAAGTCTTTTATGATATGAATTTCATAGAAAAATATAATAATAATAATAATAATAATAATAATAATAATAATAATAATAATAATAATTATTATTATTATTATTATTATTATTATTATTATTATTATTATATTTTGTTATATATTTTTAACAAAAAATTATGTATTTCTTTTTTAATTTTTTAAGACAAATTTTACGCCGAAATAGAGTATTTCAAGTATATCTTAAGTTGTCATGACTTATATTTCCAAGAAAATAATATTTTTAGATGCAACAATATGATGTATTTTCTTAATTCACTCACTTTATCTCACTATGATGTTTGATGAATATGAGTTATTGAGTAAAATGATTTTGATTAGCTGAATGAAAAGGTTGGACAGATAAATTGAAATGATCAATATGCCATTTGCTAAGCGAAGCAATATAACCGATTAAAAAAAAAAAATTTCTTAACAACGCATAGAACGAAATTAGAGAGTTAGAGGTAATTATTTTGCACTAAATTTCACGTTACGTAGACTTAAAGCGTACTGTGTAATTTTAATAGCACGATAGCATCTGGCATCGTGCAGTTATGAATTGCGTCATATATTTTTGTGCTACACACGTTGCAAGGGGTTAATTTACACGAGTTTGGGTATGTAGTGGTATTTATTAGTAATTTACACGTATGCATCAAGAAAGCACGATTTTATGACTTTAAAGTACTATAATAAAGCTCAGTTTCTGGACGTTTCTCCGATATGCTCAAATATAATAAATGTACATAAAATCTAATATTATTAGAACTCGAATAACTTATTTCAAAATCAGCTTGTGTTTAATTATGTTCCAAATTATATCGAACGCGATTTTAAAAAAATGTTTAATTACATTAAATTTTAAATGAAATAAAAAACATTAAATTTTGTCTTTAATAAATAAAGGATAAACGAAGCCTCTCAATACGTTGAATTTCATGCTATTAAAAAAATTTTATTACGAAGCTCCAAATATCCTTAAAGTGTGTATGCAGCATAAAATCTTCTAAAAATAATAGAAACTGTGGAAAAAATGTTTATATTTATTTTAATTTTCAATATTCTATCTAAATTTTAAGATCCAGTCAAAATCAATATGTTTGTGAAATATGTGTGTGAAATTGTTGGAAAGTGTAACGAATGGTCTAACAGCGAATTAACGGCATACATCGCTATGGGCTGCAATTAACTCATACTTTTTCCGCAAAGCACTCACGTACAAAACGAGTTCCCTAATCATTTTGTGTTTCACTTTGCAATTTCACTCTTTAAAAACTAATTAATAATTTGATAATGTTGATATAAATAAAGATAAAAACGATATTGTCAGAAGAATACATATTTAATCGACAAAATTGATGATTCTCATACTTTTCTCTTATCTTTGATTAAATTTACCGTTATTTATCTACATCGTTAATACAAGACAAAATACACTTGGAAATAAAGTTGTTGAGTGGGGTTCAACATATAATTGTCATAATACATTTGTCTTAAGGCATAAAAAATCTTTAAAGCACAATTTTTAAAAACTAAATTTTTTATTCTTATGCAATACGATGATTTTGTGTTTGCGTGTGTGCGTGTATATATATATATATATACCATTCTTGTTTTGTATCCTATTTCGATGAAGAATTTTAATTAATTGTAATATTCTATATTCTATATAATATTATAGATTTGAATATTTAATGAGACATAATGGGTTGAGATTTGAATTGAGAGTTTAATACACAATAAAATTATATTTTCAAAACTAAGCAATAAAAAAAAAAAGAAAAGAAAAAAATTCTTCTTATTTTTCCATACATATATTTTTATTATTTTGAGACGATATTTATTTCAAGACCTCTTTTTGGTTTTTGTTTGTTTGTCTGTTTTTTTTTTTTTTTTTTTTTTTTTTTTTTTTTTTTATTTATTTTGCAATCATTTATGAGCATGAAAATTCTCATTTACACCATCGTATTCCTTTTCTAGAATTGCAGCATTAGTAATTATAGGATGCCTAAGCATTTGAGCATTTGAAATAAATGTCCATGTGCCAGTCACTTTTCTATCAAAACTATAATATCGCCGATGGTTCGAGCATTATTATATTATAAAGCAATTATCAAACGGCTTTATTTATGTTGCATATCTTTCCGTATCTTCGTAAGCGAACAAGATGAATTGCCACAATTTGAAATAGCTAAATAATATCGGACATATAGATTCGGCAGCCACCAGTCATTTATTTACTTTCATTAAAAGATTGTATTTTATTGCACATTTTGTCATGACAATCGTGATAACTTTTACAATGTATCCTTATCAATGCTCGCTTTGGCAATTCACTGCTCCAAATGAAATGAGCGGATAAAATTTCAAGATATTCGCCGTGCCTCGAAGTGTTTCTGGCCCGGCAAACAATTTTCCCGTTACACAAACAAGCGACCGTCTATATTTAAATGCAGTCTCGTCTGCATCGGCGCTCCTTTTTTTTCGTTCGTCAATTTGGCCGTGGAAAGGATGTTATGCGAATGGACGGTGGGTTAATATGCGAATACGAGCCTGGGCTAATTTTTTTGCCGTGCCCGCAGACGCGGGAGAAAAAAAAATCGGCCAATTAACGCGGCGGGCTACGTTGTTTTATTTAACGAAACGATCGAGCGACGGAGCTTTAATATCGACCGAGGAGGCCCCGCCACTTTCGAGTTATTTTCGGTAGAAAGCGCCGTGGCG